ATAACTTCCTGAGATGGTGGTCAAATGTGTGTAGTCTGAACAGAACAACAACCTCAGAAGCAAGGATACAACTTTTCACATACATACTATGGTGGTTGTGGAAAGCTAGAAACTTGTGGGTATTTCGAGACTCATGGTTGGAAGGCAGAATTGTTGCAGACCTAGCTGGTAAAGACTGGATGGAGTTTGCAGCTGTGAGATGAGCAGGGCATTAAGTTTGTGGTGTTTGCAGTTCTTGGTAGCAGTCTTTTAAGGCTTTTGTTGATAGTCAGTAATAGATTGTGAGAAGGTTCTTTCTTTTGGTTCTAAGCAGCCTTCCATTTTTGTTTCTTGGGGTTCATCTAGGCCTTTTGTGCAGTGGTTGAACCCTTTTTGGTGTTATGGAGTTTGAAGTTAGCTAATGGATTCAATGGGAAAGACATTTCCACTAGCTAGCATACAAACTTTTTTTGCAGCTCTTTTGTTGTTTATATGGTTTTGTTGCCTAGTAGTTTTAGCACTTGTTGTGCGGACTTTTGTAGACCAGTTGGTCTCCGATTTGTACAAACTNCAATTAGTTCAAAGGTACAACGATGGACATATTTTAACAATTAAGGTAATGCCTAAATATATATTCACATTTTTTGGCCAATTTCTTTTATTTTTTAAAATTTGATTTCACCAAAATATTTTCTTTGCAATGAACGTGTACTATACGTTACCACAATATCTGAAAATTTGGAATTTATATAAAAATAATTGCTAGCTAAACATTTAATAAAACCTATTTAATTTTACGAATATGGCGATATAACTTTTTTTTCCTCCAAAGACCGTTACTTCTGATTTATTTAACCTTTGATTTAATTATTAGATAATCAACACACTAATCACTTCAAAATTACAGAAATTATTTTAAACTTTTGATTACTGACAGTTAATCATATAATGTGTTGACCATATAATGGGATTAGATGTTATTATTGTGGTTACATTTAAATTAATATTTTTTTAAAAATAAAAAACATTTTTGAAATTCCTAAATAAATAATAAATAATTCAAAAAAAATTACATATCAAAATATACAGTACATTCAATCTGAAAAACGTAATTTTATAAAAAAAATAATTATTTCAGCTCCTTTAATTGTAAATTTGTCCTGCAAAAAAGTGAAAGAAAAATTATTAATCATTATATAATTTATATTTTCAATTATTTTATATTTTCAAATAGAAAATGAAAGTTGCAGCAATTATTTTATATTTTCAATTATTATTTTCATCTAATTCATATTTTTACATGGCAAACTTTTTGGCCCAACATAAATTATTTAGTATATTTGTCTGTCCAAGCAACATAATATTTCATAAAAGTAGTCAATGTCCAACATAATATGAATTTATAAAAGCAGTCAATGTCCAAGCAACAATTAAGGTCAAATTAATATTAAAAAAGTCAATAAATAAATCAATTAATTAACATAATACAATGAAGATGTAGTATATTTAAGTCGGTTACATAACACCATACACAAGATTAAGCAAAACTTAATATTATTATATAATTAACAACAACAAACACCAAATTAAATATTATACAATTAACAATAGAATACATTATTTACGCTTATATATCTATATATATAATTTCTAGCTAAACATTAAATTTTACCTCATAAATTTTATCTATGTGGTAACTTTCCTAACAATATGTCATAATAATTCATACTCCAAAAGAAAATTTTTCTCTCTCTGCGTTCCCCCAAAATCTCCCTCGTTAAACCTAGCTTCAACGCCGACAATCTGCACCTCCCTCGGCGTCCATCCGGCTTGCCGGTGGACTGCCCACCGTCGAGCAACCACGCCGCTGTTCGTGGCTATTTCACTTCTCTCTCTCTCTCTGGCTGTGAGGTGCAGATTCAGATCTATGGCGATCTCGTCGATCTGCGATTGAGCCGCCGGAGTCCCAGAGTGGAGCGGATAGGTGGAGTGCGGCACCAGTGGCTGGGTGCGGCTCTGTAGCTGCGTCGTCCCTGTTCAAGTTTCCCCCCTTTCTAGCCTCTGTCGACAGGCTCAGTTTTCTTTTCGTCTCGTCGTGCGCAGGCGTATTGGTGTGGCAGCGGGAGAGTTGTGGTCTGTCCTTGGTGGCTGGGTGGGGTGATCGGGTACAATCTTTGTACGGAACGTCCCTTATTGCCGGGCTGGCAGGTCATCCTGGGTGCGGGTCTTCGGTTTTGACTGGAGTCGGGTCGGGATTTGTCCCTGTGGTTTGGGTGGATAGGTGGTTGTTTCGGGCTGGGTTAGTTCCTCCGGGCAGGGTCGGAGTGGCGGAGCTCTGATGTCATTCGTCTCCTTCCTCCCCTCTCTCAGCTTTTGAGTTTGTGGGAGGCCGTCTATTTCCGGATTGGCTAGTGGTGTTAGGCAATTTTGGGATGGTTCGGATTGGCTAGTGGTGTTAGCCAGTTGGGGGGCGATTGTGATGTCTCGTGGTTGGTGCGCGGGTCGATTCTTCGGTTTGTCTTGTGGCTTAAGTTTTCGTCTTGCTAGGCCTTCTGCAGTGGTGGGCGAGGTATTTGAGCTTCGGAGCTCTCCTCGGAATTGGCTTTGTTTGCTGTCTTGTTCAGATGTTTCTACTGAGGGAGGCCATATGTGTTTGCTTAGATTGTAGTTTTCGTTTTGTGTATTGCGCTGTTTGTTCTTGTTATGTGTTGTCAGTATTACAATCCATTATTATTATTATTATTATTATTATTATTATTATTATCATCCCATTAATGATAAAATATTTTCTTGCTCTTTTTTTAGGTTAATTAAGACAAAAACTATTATATTTTATATTAATTGAGTAATACATGTATTATTTTTGTATCATATAATACTTATTTAATATTAATAATTATATTTTAATCTAAATGATGTATAAAAAATACATAAACATAAAATATTATATTGTAAAATCTTTTTGTTACAAGTTATTTGTTCTAAAATCAATATTGTATTTTTTATTAGATTAAGTTATTTTTTTTTAAAATAATATATCAATTTATTTTGATGTCATAGTAAAATTCCTTAAGATCGCATAAGAAACTATTATAATAAATTTAATATTTTTCAGCTAATTAATTCGTTACAATCTCTCAAAATACAAAAATTGCATTATTTATCATGTTTTATGCAATCAATATAGTGATTCATATGCAATCAAAACGTTATGTACTATTTATTTTAACCAATAACCAAATTTTAAAACATAATACAAGTATCTAACTTATTATTTTAATATTATGTATATACAAATAACTTATAATACTTTATTTACATATGTGCAAATGCACAGAGTCAAATTTTAAAAAACGATTTTCTGAGCCTAGCCAGTCCAGATAAAGCCATATAACCAGTTCCAGACTTAGAAATTCTCTCGAGAACTCTAGACAGCTTCAGATATAAATTATATGCCTTAGCTCGTTATCTTTCATTAAATTAGCAAACCGCTAAACTCAGACTAAAAATGAGCATTAAATGTTTTAGAGACCGACCGACTGAACCATTAAATAAAATCAGTAATTATATAATCGAGTTTCTCCAGTCAAGTTGAATACTTAGAATATTCTGCTTAAATATTTTGTAGCTTAAGGAGAGTCGAGCATCCGACAGTTACTATTCATCCAGCACTTGTCTAGCAGTCTATCATGTGGGGGTCACGTACTGAGTACTACATCGTCTTTAATTACTTTACCATGTCAGAGGTATGTATGAGAAAGTTATATCGCCTGGGTGGAGGCACAACGGGCCTTAAAGTTCCATCCTAGGTTCTGGTGGAGGCACCAGCGAGTCTTAATGTCTCATCAGAGTGTGCACATGATTTACCGACATAGCTGCCGGGAGTTAATAAACAATACAGTTCAGATTAATTCAGTTTTACCGGCATAGCCGCCGGAAGTTAATAAACAATACAGTTCAGATTAATTCAGTTTTACCGGCATAGCTGCTGTGAGTTAATAAACAATACAGTTCAGACTAATTTAGTTTTACCGGCATAGCCGCCGGGAGTTAGTAAACAGTACAGTTTAGATCAATTCAGTTACTTATATGCTTAAGTCATGATATTGTTATTATTGATGTTGTTTATTCAGTACTGGTTTCTGCAGAGCATAGTGGTTTTGCTCACGCCCCCACTACCTTTTTGTTTAGGTGACGGAGTCTAGAGTGGCGCGTGAGCACTCTTGGTGGTCGTGGTCATGAGCTCAGTGGACATTTTGACACGCATTTTATGTCATGTATTATGAACATGTAGTTTTAACTATGCGTGTGCTTATTATGCTTTAGCTTCCACATTTTCAGACCTAGTATTAGATTATGAGAACTTCAGACTTATGCCTGTGTAATACCTTTATCTCTATGACACCTTTATTAAATAGATTTCGATTCGGTTGCATGTATTAATTATGTCTGAATGAGAAAGAGATAAGATTAGTAACATCCCGCGAGACAGTTATAGTATTTTCGAAAAATAAAGTTAGCGTTTTTCGAAAATAAAAAGTAAAAATTTAACTCTAATTTTTTCAAGTCTAGTTATAGAAGGCGGGGTGTTACAGGGTCTAGGGCTATTAAGGAACCGAACGTTTTCAACAAAAAGTCGCTCATGAACAAGTCTAGGATTATTATCGAACCGAATGTTTTCAAACAAAAAGGTCGTTCAAGCTCATTCATGTTCCACAAGAGTTTGTTCTTTTGCTAATCGAACCTAGTTCATACAAAAAATTAGATTTGTTTAATAATCAAACAAAAACGAGCCAGTTTGCAAACGTTCTATAATCTTCACAGATATTAACTTAGTATAATTTTATTTACTTGATATTTTTAAATAAATGTAAAATATAAAAAAAAATTATTTTATTTTTTAATTTTTGAGTTCGAACGATCGTTTTTCGAGTTAATCAAACATACTTAAAAAGTTTGTTTTTTATATTATTAGAACACAAGTTGTGACGAACAATTAAACAAACGAGATCGAGCAAGATTTTTTGCTCGAAAAATAAACGAACAAACACAAACAATGTGTTCGAACATAAATGAACACGAGCTCGAAATGCTCAAGCTCGACTCATTCAGTTCGATTACAGCACTAACTAAGCCTCTCAATATAAAAGAAAAGCACAGAACGAAACACCACATTGTAATATTAGCTGCTGATTCTTGTTTGCGAGGGTGTATATAGTACAGGCAAACTTCACACCGGACTGAGCTAGTAATCAACCACCTAAACTAAGTGAGCATCACCCAAATATATTGCCTGTTCCTAGAACAAACAGTCATGATGACAGACATTAATGCACAAACAAATCTTCCTTTTACGTCTACATATGGAGATCCAATAAGCAGACGACATTGTTTGCAAAACAAGCAGCAATTTTATTGCCCTCTTTGTTCCAACAAACCTCAAAGATCCCGCCATTGCCACTGAATGTCCTCACTATCCTTGCTTCCTTCACGGACCACACGTGCAGGCATTTATCCAGTGACCCACTTGCCAGGTACTCGCCATTCGGGCTAAACGCAACAGAATAAACTGGGTCCCTGTAATGAAGACGAAACAGATGCAAAAAAAAAATTAAATTTCTGAAAATTTTAAAACCCATCATACACTGCTCATGTTTGTCACACATTGGCTAGCTATTGTGTATTTGAGTTACCCAATCCCGTTTTTGTTTGATGTCGGATTTGGTTTGGCATGAGAAAGTTATGTTTGCCCCCACAAAATTAGTTATTGGGTTGTTATTGAGTATATTTCTCACCCATAATAGTGGCTATAACAAATTATGTGTTTTCCAAATGTTGCCAAATTGCCTTAGACGATCACTAACTCTCGGCTTATTTATTGACAAAAAGATTAATTAGCTTTCTTCTTACCTGTGTCCATTTAAACTATGCAGTTGACGTCCGGCATCCACATCCCACAATTTTATGGTTGAATCAAATGAGGCACTGCAGTAAGAGGTGGGGAAAAAAGGAACTACAACTTTGAATGAAAAAGAGAACAAAGCTGAAACAAAACACAACACACATAGAATTGAATACCACGTAGATTTGACTATGCACTATTTTTCTCATTTCATTCTTCAACTCAGTTCATGATGTCTACAATAACACAACTAGTAGTTATCTATCCATGGTATATCTCACATAAGACTTATATTCTAATGTTTTTTTCATTTAGTTATTCATTTCCTTTCTTGATTTGGCAAATAACGCGCAAATCAACTACAGTTGTGTTCACGTAAGTTTCGAAAGCTTTAAGGACCCTAAAACTATTACTGTGACTAGGTTTTCTGAAAGAACTTGGGAAAAGCTTATGTTGGATCTTGCTAACAAAAGTGTTCCAGAAAACTTTGGACATATGCATGAATAAGCAAATCACTAAATTCTATATTAGGCATGATGGATCTCCACTAACCACACCTTAGATCCGAAATGTGCTCCATGCCTCAACCAGTTGCACCCAAAAATTAATCAGACCACAGTTCTCACACTTGCAATAGTAGAGATAAATTCATCATTATCTACACTGAAGCATTCGTGAATCTATCTGAGGATCTATCACAAACACAGCCCAATTTTCTTTCCACTTGGTGGAATTCATACCAAAAAGGTTTGGCCACCATGAATATAAATATACATATATAGTGTATCTCTGCATTTAATTAAAGACAAGACATGTATGTAACCCATATGCAAAACTTATTTAAAGACACCTTATCGTTTCTTATTTCATCTTTATTGTTGTGTGTGTGCAGGGTTTGGGGTGCTGCAAAGGCCTTTCACAACAACAAAAAAGGCGATGCAATTGCACTATTAAAGCAACTAAAAGAATTATTGAGATGAGTTTACATGGAAGAAAAAGTCAATAAATAAATGAATTCCAATTTGGGTTTAGGTCGTCATATACATTACTTATCATTTCCTCTACTTATACCGACTTGCTGATTTTGTGTAGGATTTATCCTTCCAAATCACTCAGTTACTTTTTTGTGGCAGATTCTTCAACTATTAATATTCAAGAAAAACTCTGCCTCTGGATAACACAAACCGAAATTTTGCATGGAAGCAAGAACATAATGCCGCCAGGCAACATATCAAATTTATTAAAGCTAAAAAATTTACCTAGCCAGCACCAACTGCTTATTAGGGTTATTGGTCCCAGGCCCTGTTGGACTCCATCTCACGGTATATATTTCCTACAAAACAGTGCACACATCAGAAAACGTTACAGTGTGACCAACTGACATGGACAAAACTAGATGTCCTACTTTGGTATGTTCCCTCAAGTCAAGCAAGCAGGTGTCCTGTTTCGTACTCCATATCTGCATATTGACCAATCAAACAGTAAAACAATACTCAAATTTGACAAACCATATTTATTCAGTATCTAGTACCTACCCTCTCAAAATGTCAGAAAAGGCTACAACCCCAAAAAAAACAAAGAAACTATGACATCAATACCAGAATATTAACTTAAGAATCTGCATCATCAATTTAAGTGTGGCAAAAAAAAAAAATGGGAAATTTGATGAATTCCAAAACTGCCTCTGACCTTTGCCGTAGAATCATCAGAACACGAGGCAAGAAGGGCGCCGGTGGGGTCCCACTTGATAGCATTAACTTCACCCTGAAATATGTACAAATGTTGGTATAAATGATGTAAATTAAAAGTCATTCAGCCCAGATGATCATATTTTAACACCAGTACCAAGCCCAAAATGTTTCTCAAACAGCTGTCAGAATTCCACATACACTCGTAATCACTTCCTTGGGACAGCAAAAAGTGGTAAGACATTGTTATATTGACAATCATAGTAGTTCTAACCTACTTACAAATGGTTTCTAGTGCTACCAAAAAATCCAGTGCATCTGAATAAATAATTACACACAAGTTAATATACTGTCTGCATGGGATAGAAAGCTGTATGTATGCCTCTAACCAGTAAATTTACACAAATGCACCCTAGCAAATTTGTTAACCAACTGAGTTGGCATTTATGCGAATAAAGATACTTCCAAACGGCCACTATCAAATGTTAGTTTGTTACCAGTTACCACCAGAATCTTACTACCAAACCAAACCGGGAGATAACAAATCTAGTAAAATATCACTGCTTGGACTTCCAATAGAGACACGATCAGTGTCATTACCAATTCAATATTAACAGAGAAGAACTCTTTCAGAAAATGAAGCTTTGGACTTCACATTCGAGCTATCACTGGGTGAAATTTCAGAATATCACAAACAAATGGAGATGGATAATTATAAGATAGCCCTCAAATTTCGTTTGCAATTGATTTACTCATTTACATGGTACGTATTTCCTCTTTCGATTTTTTCTGCAACATATAGTTCTAAATATTCAAGCATAAATTTTAAAAACCAGATCTTGATCCTGCTCATTTAAAAGCCTTAATCGAGTGACCTGTGATATTCATTCATAAAAATGGAATCTGAATCTATCCAGACATCCACTATCCACGACTCATGGAAAAATAACACAATTCAATCTCACAAAAATTCTGCACGCATTTGAACTGGTAGAATAATTGCCAAGGTAACTAGTGGCATGGAATTAACAAATGAAACAAACCTGATGCCCGGCAAAACTTTTAATTGGTCGATTCTCCCCAACTTTACAAACATATATCATGCTGTCAGTAGAGCATGTAGCAAATGAGACATTGTTTCGCCAATCGACATCAAGGGCAGGAGCTGTTGTACAGGGAACATAAAATTATAGTCGGCATGATTAATAATGACAGACATAAAAAAGAAGCTTGTTTAGAAGGAAAAAAATGTTTTGAGTTCAGAAGCACCTGAATGAAATTCAAATTGTTGTCTCCAATCTCCTGTCTTAACATCCCATACGATGGCCGTTTTATCCACACTTCCACTAAGAAGGAAATCCCCTTTCTTGTTCCACTTTAAAGAGAATATTGGCCCTTTATGTTTATTTAATGTACTAATCAGCTCACCTGGGTAAAACGAACAAAAGTCATACACCAAAAGAGTCTGCTGCAGAAACATGAACGTATAGCAGCTCAGCGTTTCACTTTTGATCTAACAAGTCAAATGAAAAATGTGCAAAATAGTAAAAGAGTCCGTGAAATGACTCGCCAAGTAAATTGTTAACACATACACAAACTGATGGAAATTGACATGTGCCCTTAAACTATACTTTATCATGTCAAGTTTAACCATTTTGATTTTTACAAATAATTTAATTTTCTAAGCAATATTCTGAAACTAATTTTCTGTTGAGTAAATACCACTATCACCCTCTAATTTTAAGCGTCATTTTAGCGCTCTCAGTTTCATTAATTTTCAAAGACCAAAGTAGAGTCAATTAGAATTTGCAGAAAGGAGATGAATGAAGCGTGAATGTTGCTGGTCAAGCAGGAGATCAAGACGAAGTGCCATAGCTTGACGTCAAACACACCCTAGGATAAAATTTGCCAGAAGGTCGGAGTTCAGAGAGGGGGAGAGAGAGAGATGTAATTGACCGTCGAAGGTCCTGTATTCCTATTTTAACTCCCTAGGAAATTCTTATTTTCTTTTGTTTTATCGCAGCCCTGTGTTCAGAAGCTCATCCACCCCATATCCAGCCCATGTCCACATTGTCAAAACTGGAAAAAAGTCAAGGATAAGGAATTTGGCTTATCGGACAAGTGTATTTGTGCACGTATCAGTATCCACATGTATTTGTGCCCAAACTCCAATTTTTTTCTATATCTGTGCTCCAATAGATTACAGGTAAGGACCCTTTGGTGTTTCGTGGCTATGGGAATGACAGAGAGACAATCAGAAAACGGAAACTAAAGTGAGAAACAATATTACAAAATGGAAAACTGAGACAATAGAGTAAGAGGTTGAAACAACACCCAGCAAGAATTTAGGGGTCAAAAGCAAATTAGTTTCGCTCATGTTAGCTCTGGTTTAATTATCTCATTCAGTAGAGGGAGGATTACAAGTCAAACTGAGTATACTTCCTATAACTAGTCGCCTAAACTTTCTGTTTTCCATCATACCAGCGTTACCTACTTCAAAGCTTTATCATATACAATCACAAGGTTTCCTACCTTCAATCTGAAACAGTCTTCTATCAAAATAACTATAACTCCCCTCGCCATGACATGAGACAAACTGAGAAAACATTAAAAGACTTGATTGATAGAAGCTATATCAACAATGTGCATCTTTTTCTCCGAAACCAAGTCCATAGGAACTTCAAAATTAAGCGTGTTTACTTTGGAGCAATATGGGATGGGTGACCTCCTGAAAAATTTCTTAGGAGTCACATCACACTAAAGACTCGTGTTGGTACGGTGGGGACCACCATCAAGTCTCGAGGATTGAGTCATAACGTTACAATATCTATAACAACGAAAAAGTGGCAGATTCTAAGATAACAAACAAAGTAGCCTCTTCCAAACTATATTATCTCACTACGAGCAACCCACATTTTATAGGGAGACAACTACAAAGCATGTCATACACTAAAAATTCTTATGCAAACCTACTCCAAAATTTTATATCAAGCAAGTTAAATAATAATTAGTGACAACAAGCTGACATCATACTCTCCAAAATCAATGCATAGGAGAGAGTGAACAAAGCTTTAATAACTATAGAACAAGTCCAACTCTTGATGATGCAGAATATCCATCTCACAGTTCTATAAATGAAGACAGTAAAATCCCCAGAGCTTCCATCATGAACTCCATATATGTCATACATACTAACTGCCGATGCTTTATAAACTTAAGCAGGAGAAATATTTGAACAATCAATACACCCATATTTTTTAGCTCTTCCAGCTTACTCAACATTCCAATACAGCACCCCTCCCCCGCAGGCCACCGAATAAAAAATAACTGGATTCCAAAAATTATGTCCTTAAAAAAATCATCAATTCCAATAGCAGAAGATCCCTACAAAAGGTATAAAAAACAGGGCCCTTTTACCCATTTAATTATAGCAAGATACAAGAAGTTGCAGCATGAACAGAAACAACAATCCTAAAACTTCAGACGGAGTGATGCTAAATTAATGAAACTTATGTTTCACTAAATTTCATAAGCAGAAATTACTTTAGGGTATGTATTAGAGGGACGGGCGGGTGTATAAGGGAAGATTTTTAGAAATGGAGCAGTAGTATAGAAAAGCATCAAGAAACATAAAATTAGTATTTCGTTGAAGAATTTGGGGGGAAGTGTCTAAGGCCATCTTTAACCGAAAAACTCATTCTCAAACCCATTTTGCAGTAACTGTCGCATTAATAATTCTTCTCCAATTGATAAACTCATTCTCAAACCCAAAAGTCTCGGAATATTCTCTTTCACATCAACTTTTATGACTTTTGAATACCACCCACATACTTAACAACTTTACAGATTTGACCCAATATTATTTTATATTCGAATTTTAAAACAATGTTTAATAATTTATTATACATTGATAATATTGGAAAACATATTTGTTCAATAAGCCAAAATTTTATTTTTCTTATTTTAATTTAAAAAATATTTTAAAAGGATTGTTAGAATTTATTACCAATCTTTTATTAGAATGTTGATAAATTACTTTAAGGTATTTGTAGAAATTTTTTAAAAAAAAAAATTACAAATATTTTCACTTGATTGACCTTTGATATGCATAATATATACATCTAATTTCTATGAAATTTACATGGTTTTTAGTGTTATTTTTTATTGGTAAAAAATTATGACTTGTTCAGTATGAGACCAAATTATCACTCATTCATACATAGCAGTTTTTGGAGGAATAATTGTCTATTTTTTTTAATTATTATACCAACTATGTAATTAATAAAAACAAGGGGGTGAGGTTGCAATTCCAAAACAACAAACATAGTTTTTGCGATCAAACGCAAACATGCATTTCGATGAAGAGAGAGAAGGCCTGAAACAAAATTTGAGTATGCGTTTGGCGCTCGGTTAGTCAAACTTTCTTCCCCCATTTTGCGGTTTGCAATTGGGTTGGAGTTCATCTAAAAGCTAAATAAAAAAAATCCGTAGTTCGTCCACCAAATCTAAATATTCAAAGCATACAAAGCTTTAAAGTGCTATAATTTTAACAAACCATGTTTAACAACACTTACCATCTCTACTCCATATCCGTGCTTGACCATCATAAGAACCAGTAGCAAGCAATGTTCCATCAACCTACATAAAATTATGTTACAAGAGCAGGAAAGTAGTAAATAACAGATTTGCACCATCCAGCCCTCAAATGAGGACACTGAACAATTCAACAGTGTACTCAAGTTCCAAAAATATTTTTCAAAAATAAAAAGGAACGATTAAATAAAAACTCACATTCCAATCAAGTGTCGTCACATCTTTGCTTTTCTCATTTATTCTACCCTTGCAATGTTTAAGCACAACAGACGAAGGTCCATTTTCCAGATTAGAGCTAGATGGTCCATCTACAGTCCAAATTCTAGCAGTAGAATCTCCAGACCTAAAATACAGAATTCACTCAAATCAACATGCTTGGCCGTACTCTAGTTGTAATTATGTGTGTTAGTTATAAAATTCCTATCGTTTCGAACCAAAAAAAAAAAAAAAACATGCTTGGTGCGTACAATAGTGTAAAAGAGAACGAAAATCCAGTCAATTAAATATCAGTTGGCAGACGTGTTAGTAGCAATACTAGTCCATCATGTTTTCATAAAAACATTCATCCAGTTGCAGGTGAACACAAGGACGTTAATATCTACCCAACTGAACGACTGAAACGCAAAGTATTCAGAAAAAGACAAACTATGCTTACCCGAATTGTGTCAGATGCAAAAACACATAGAAACATTGTTCTATTCAATTAATTAAATCATTCTGAATTCTAATCAAGAAATATATTGGTGTTTCAACATATGTCTCTAAAATGGCATTGTGTCGAGACAACAGCGAAGTTTTCGGATCACGTTCATGGGAATGCCTAAATAGCAAACCAAAGAACGTCTGAGCAGGCGAAATTAAAACCTTGTCATTTACACTTCTTCCCATTATAACACCTAAACGAAGAACACCACCTAAATGTGACAGGAAAAATGTGAAGGAGCACCTTTGAGTAAGATATATACTCAAAATTGAAAAATATGTAGGAACCGCGGTCAAGTACTCCGGCCCTCTCAACAAGGTTACAGGGTTGACCATGTAAGAAAAATATAGCACATAAAAGTTATTTTCAACTGCAGAGCTTCCCTTCTAGATTTAACAGCCATGGAGTTTCAAAAACTAAACCTTATATTTCATTTCATCTATAGTTTTTCAGTTAACAGCACAAGGTTTACTAGTTTAATGATATATCTTTCATGCAGATGAAACAGCAAACGGTCCAATGCTTGATACTGCTTCTAAAATAAGATTTGGCCAGTTTGACCTTCCAACTGCCCACTGATCATGGAATAGATAAAAAAAAAATTATTGTGATCTCAGAGGTCTTCTAAAAGAAGGATGAGAAAATTGTACCACAATCAGCTTGTCAGGCACCAATAACTAGCAGAAGGCAATTTGTAGCACATAAACAGGGTTCAAATAGTTCTGATGCAATCAATACATAATTATTTAACAATATTCTGTAGACATCAAAGGGGACACATAATGAGAATTAATATGTAAAAAGTCAAAAACTAATATTGTCTTCGTATTAGTAAAGTTTTAGCTTATGCTAACCCAGAAGCAAGAAGAGAACCAGTAGGGTTCCATGCACAAGCAAAGACCTGCGCAGGAAATAAAGGAGCATCATAAAGATAACGGTCACAAATAATAATTTTTTCAAGCATGTCCTCAATAGTGGGGATACTAGATTAATAAATATGAAAAAGGGACCAACCTCAGAAGTGTGGCCTTGCAAAACAGTTACATCACTGTTTGGGATTTCACAAGGCAAGGAAACTAAACCACTGGAGATATCCATTGGTTCGGGCCCTATCAAACATCCACGAACACAAAGAAATGGTTATATTTCAGAAAAATCATAATGAATGGCAAGACCATGCACATTAAGACACCCATGAATCAAAGTTTCAGTCAGCAGGTTCTTCATTACTTCTTCAAAGTAAAGGAGTGTAGATGCACCCATAAAGCTGAAATATATCATACCTTCACCAGTTCCATTCTCGTCAAGTCTGCTGTTCATGTCATCCCCAGTATGATTTACACCACCAGCATCCTCACAGAGCTTTTCCTTTTCTTTGGCTTTTTCTCTCTCTTTTTCTTTCTCCATTCTATCTCTATCTCGTTCTTTTTCTCTATCCCTCTGTTGTCTTTCATTATCCTTACCTTTTCCAAGTTCCTTGTCCTTTTCCACCAAAGATCCCTTGCCATGCCCCAGCCCATTTTCAATATTTTCTTTCTCCTTTCCCTTAGATTTATCACGCTGAATATTTTCTTTCTTCTCTTTTATTATCTTCCTAAGTTCATCAAAATCTTTTGTTATAAGATCAAGGGGATGCAGAAACTGGAAATCTTCATCCGTGTCCAAATTATCCTGGAGAATTAGAGATCAATATTTCGGAACCTTTTTTTTAAACATGATAAGACTGACCGACCGAAGCGGACAGAGCGATCATATATATATGTATTCAGAAACAGAGATGATCAGCACTCTTACACTACTCAGGTTTGCTTCTAGTTCAAGATACTGAATTCCTTTCTGAATAAATGTAACAAGTGCTCCAGGAGGAACAAGGTTGCCGTCGATGGTACTCTTATTAATCCCTGCCTCATATCCTAAAGCAAATGCAGAGTGCGTGAATCCTGAAAACACATTTATATAAGACACACTAAGCACTTGAAAAGTACAAAATTAATGCTCCAGAGCACGTTGCACTATCACTATTAGCAAACATAAATGATTAAATCAGTTGATAAAACTAATCTCCTAGTCTATAAAGTAAGCCTGCTATGCTTGAACAATCTGAATGTGCAAACACATGCAGTATACAACTAAATAATCGCAAATATATATCACATAATACTACAAAGAAACAAAGTAACGTTATACAAATGATTGTCCATGGCTATGGTTCCCTGAAACAATTAACCAAGTCCAGCTGTTGCAAAATACATAGGACATTGAAAAGAGTAAAAGAAAAAATGAATCATTTTCGATAAATGTAATAATTAATACACAAATAGGCCACCGCTTTAATAACAATTTAGTAATCACGCAATGAAATTCATTACAATTAAAACTATTTGGATAGTCATTTATCAACTCACTCATATTACAAAGGTATACATTACTGGAAAATGTAATGTAGAAAGTATCAATTAGATAAATTCTTTCCAGCTAATCTCTTCAATAAGATAGTTGACGAAATCACGGGACACACAGCAAATCCTAATTTGATTCACTGTCATGTTTAATTACAAGATCATAGAAACTTTGATTCATTTGAAAATTAACCTGCACCTTGCTAGTTCAGCGAGATTGTTCTTTGTTCCCAATTATGTGGCACAAAGGCCTTCTCCCAAATGTTTAATTTAAATAAATTCGGACTTTCATCATCTGGGACACTCAACATACACAATATTCTACATATGTAAGCCACAGTCTTGGACATCGTTCTGCTACTTCCTAAAGAAAGCACTTCCAAAATGCTTTCTACTAATTTGACTCCAATCAAATCTCACTCCTATTCTCGTCAATTGAATCAAAAATATTGCTATATTTGAAAATACCTCTATGAATCTTAAGTAATAGCTAGCTAATCTAAGAAAACTACGAACCTTTCTCGTGTTCTTAGGTGTTTCCCAATTACTCATGCTTCTACCTTATCATGATCAACTTCAATCATGCGAGCCGTGTCTGTATGACCAAGAATGCCAGCTCAATCAAGCAAAACTCACACTTCTTGAACTTCTCATGTAATCTCTCTTTACGAAGTGTCTCGAACACTATTCTCAACTCACACTTCTTGAACTTCTCATGTAACTTCTCTTTACGAAGTATCTCGAATACTATTCTCAAGTGCTCTCAGTTTCACTCTTCACACTCCAACATGTCGTCAATAAAGCCTCATAAAATGGTTCAGGAACAGGTACGAGTGGGAATGGGACACCTTATTCATGAAATCAATGAAAACTCTGAAAACTCTCTTCACTCTGCATAGAACAAGTGGCATCACCACACTCGTAATGACCATAATGAGTTCTAAATGTTGCGTTTGGAATGTCACTGTATCTCGATTGATCGCCAAACCTCAAATCAATCTTCGAAAAAGTACAAGCACCAGCACCACCACTCTCATCAAGCAAACCCTCAATTATTGGTAATGGATACTTATTCTTCACAGTTAGTCGATTCAAACTCTTGATAATCGATACACATCCTTAATATCTATCTTTCTTCTTGATAAATATAACAAGTGCCCCAGGATGACAAACTAGGGAGAATAAGCCCCAGCTCCAACAAATAATGAATATGAGCTGAAACTTCTCGTAGCTCCTTCGCGCCTTTCTATACAGTACTTTGGTCATCGGTGCTCGCTGCTGCTTCCGGTACCAAGTCAATGGTAATATCCACTTGTCGATTAAGTGAACTCCCAGCTTTTGATGAAAACCAAGTATTCTTGTACAATAGGAACATTAGGGAGAGAACTCTTTCGATTGACTTCCAACTATGTTCATTATGTATCCTTAGCAGTTCCTTTCTTCAAACTTTTTAAGGTGCTTATCGTTGATATAACTACAAAACAGTCCTCAACTTCGCCACGTACAATGGCAATCTTCTTGACGTTACAAACCTTAGGGTTTTGGATGAATAATATTACACATATGAAGATGTCCATATATATAGCTTTAGGGCCTTTAGTATATATGGGGTGGGCCTATAATATGTAACCACCCCATTCAAACTCAAGGTGGAGTTAGAGGATCCGAAGCATTGAGTTTAAGCAAGTGAAGCCGATGTTGCTCTCAGCTCAGACGGCACATACTAAAGAACAATTGTTTTCTGATGACAATGAGACCGGATAAAGGAAGCAACACCAATGTGTTTTTTACGTTTGAGAGTCGCATGATCAATCTGGATGGCTCCCACATTATCACAAAGAAGAGGTGTAGTAGCATCACATTGAATACCAAAATCGGCTAACAACCATTGAAGCCATATAACTTCTGAAGTGGTAGTAGCAAGTGCTAGAAGTTCTGCCACAGATCGAGTTACAAATGCCTGCTTCTTATACTTCAATGTAAGAGGAGAAAAATCAAGAAAAATATAATAACTAGAATGACAATCTATTGGATTACTCGTCCAAGTAGAATCCGAGTAAGCATGAAGCTGAAGTGGATTATCAGGAGCATATAACAAACACTGAAATTATGTTCCCCTTAAATACCATAGCACACGAAGCAAATGCCCAAAATGAACTAAAGTAGGACACAATACATGAATAGTGTAAGCAATATCAGGTATATGCATGGTAATATTAAGCTAAACCAGACTGCCTACAATATGTCAGAAACAAAACGCTCAAACCAAACACGTGGAGCTTGTTTGAGACCATATAAAGCACGACGAGACGAGGAAGAGGCATCAACACCCGGTGGTGGCTACATATAAACTTTCTCACGCAGATCTCCGCGAAGGAAAGAAATCTTCACATCCATCTGAGATATGGTCCAAGAACAAATAGAAGCCACTGCAGCAATCAAAGAGTACGAACAATGGTCATGTGAGCAACAGAAGCGAATGTCCCATTATAATCTCATCCCTGAGTCTGCTGAAATCCTCTAGCAACAAGACGAACTTTTTATCTCTCAATAGAATCATTCGACTTGGTCTTAATCTTGAAGACCCACTTACATGTGATAGGTACGGCATGTGATGGTAAAGGACAAGATCCAAGTGCCAGTGAAGCAAGCTCCTCTAACAAAGCCAACCGCTACTCTGGAATATTCGAAGCTTTGTAATAGGTGGATGGTTCATCAATAATAGCACTCACACGTGGAAAACCTAACCTAGCAGGAGGCTCAATAGTAGCACAATAACGTAAATTATATTCTGACCAACCTGAGACTCTAAGAATAGCATGTGACACAAAATCAACATAATCATCAAGAACGGGAGCATCAGCACTGGTCAAGGTGGTAGAATGAGGCGAATGCGTTGTGTGACCCTTGATACGACGAGTATAGACTTGTTTGATGCGCTGTTTATGTGGTAGAGGCTCATCAGAAATAGGTGTGGCAGGGTCATCATGATGAGGGGTTGGGACTAAGGAAGATGGAGAAGAGACAAGGACATCATCAATAGAGGCATTAAGAGGAAGATATAAGGACGTAGACTCCGTCGTAGAAGAAGTTGTTGGGTGTGTAGAAAGACTATAAAAGAAAGGACAGTCCTCGACAAAGGTTATATCACGACATATACGAATGCGATGAGCGGAAGGATCGTAACAACGACAACCTTATGCTTAAGACTACACCCTAAAAAAACACATTCAACAGACTAAGCAGTTAGTTTCGCACACAATGAGCAAGCAAAAGATAGCACGTACATCCGAAAACTCAAAGATTATCATAGGTAAGAGTACCAAAAAGTACCTCACCAGGACACTTGCCAAACAACTTGGATGAGCCTCTCCCCAAAAATGAGAAGGAACAAACAAGGCAATCAGAAAAGTTCGAGCTCTCTCAATAAATGACAGTGCTTTCTTTTTGCAACACCATTTTGAGCATATGCACCACGACAAGAGAGTTGGGCAAGAGTGCCCTCAGAAGTTAGAAACTGAAGAAAATTTGTAGATAAATACTCACCACCAACAAAAAACCCAAACAGGAGTAGAAAATTGAGTATGAACCATGTGAGCAAACATTTTGTAAATGGAACACAACAGAGAATGATGTTTCATAAAATAAAACCAAGTATATCGAAAATGATTATCAACAAAAATAACATAATATTTATTGCCACCTCTTGTAGAAAAAGGGGAAGGAGCCCATACATCTGAATAAGATCAAAAGATCTAGAAGAATGAGATATTCTAGTAGAACATGGGAGTTGCAGTTGTTTTTCGAGCTTGCAGCCCTTACAATGAAAACTAGACTCAGTAGATATACAACCTAAAAAACCATTACTAATCAAAGTAAACAAACGAAACCCACACAGATGACCAAGACGATGATGCCACTTGGCAAAGGATGAGGTAGAAGATGAAGCGACGAAGAACACGCGAACGGTAGAACATGCAGAAGAGGGAAGGTGTCTAAAATGTAGAGACACATAGAACCTCTACGGTGATGGAAAGTCCCAAGGCATCAAATCCAACAAAACAATTTTAATTAGTGACCTAACCAAGTGAAAGATTATTTGAAAAAAAGAAAATTTGAAGAAGATTTTGATGGATAACTTAGGAACATAAGAGATATTAGGAACTGAAAACGTGAATTGCATAGAGAACCCTCATGAGTGATACGACAAAATGTGCCATCAGTTGTCTGGACCACTGACATGCAAACAACCAACTAGGATGACAAGATGCCCCTAAAACGAGGACCCAAGACTGAGGAGCATGGACAGAAGAGGCAGCGACTGCAATTACGGACCCCTTTGTAGTGGAATTCATACTACGAGCCCGAGTAGCATGCGATACTCAGTTAACTTTTCTGGATGCTTAGTAAAACAATTCTCGGCCATATGACCTGTATCCCGACAATGCTTACAAGATTCTAGAAAGCCACTTCTAGGTGAACTAAGCCTTTGAAACGATGAACTGCCAAGACACAATGTGATGTCCATAGAGGAGTAATTGTCATAGAATGGAGACGAGTCTCTTCAAATCAGATAATGGTTGTCGGAGTAGAAGAGTTATGAAGCAACCGTGCACGAATAGAGTCAAATTCTACTCGGACTCCCATGACAAAGTGATAATGAAGAACTTTTTAACAAACTTATGTGTTGAACACTCCTCTACTGAGCATTGAGGCACCACTGAGATCAATGGTCCCATCGAACGACCAAAAATCGAATAGTACTCATTAATGGACATGTCGTTCTGTTCAATCACGTGAACTTGCTGCATAAGCGTTTGCAAGAGTGCACTACTATTGTTGCAAATAGGGCCTCATTCCCTCAATTGTCCAAAAAGAAGAAAGGCTCATGGACTGTTTGGCATTGTTCACGATGGTAGCCATCATTTTCCCATCATTAATCTGCCATATCCTAATGTCAGTAGCATTAATATTACCGGCCTTTCGCTCCAGTCCATCATTAGTCAAAGTGGAAAGCTAAACCATAAACCCTCAATACGGTTTCTGGAGAAAAAGCCCACTCCCAATAATTTTGACCATAAAGAGTGATATTGACAGCAATCATATTGAGCTGCGACATTATTCAGTGATGTATGACAACAGCTATGCCTTCGCGATAGGCAGACGGCAACATATCAAAAAAAGAGCGATGAGCTTGCCCAAAGGATGTTGGTAGACGCAACGCATGACGGTGAACAATGAAAGAACAAGAGACAAGGGCAAGAAACCCTAACCCAAAGTGATGTCAGGTTGGGTCTGAAAATGTCAAATGGAACACCAAAACACAAAACTAACAACACTGCCAAAAGCCTACGATGTTCGCCGGAAAAAAAAATATGGCAAGCCATGCGAGCACATGAGGAAGGCCTGTCTGGCGGCGCGTGGAACCCACATGCGCGGATGTCGGTAACAAAAAAATGACCGAAATGTTGATTCTAAGGTAGCAGCGAGGCTATTGGTATGGGAGGTGAGATCTGAATGGCTAAAAAAATATAAACCTGGTGTGTTAGTTGGTATGGGAGGTGAGATCTGAATGGCTGAAAAAATATAAACCCTAGTTGTTTAGCTCTGATGCCATGTTACAAACCTTGGGGTTTTGGAGAATGATCTTTCACATATGAAGACACCCATATATATAGCCTTAGAGCATTTAGTATATATGGGTTAGGCCTATAGTATAGTTAACACAACAAATTAATCGTTAACTCGTATTCACGACATTATATATCTGTCGAATACTTACTCAACCAAGCCCAAAATTACATAACTTCTTCATATTAATCTCATATAAATTAGCCCAGTTCAAGTTCTTAACAATTGAGTCAGTGGTAATGGTCATCCTTAAGCCAAGCTAACTTCTAATGATTCAACAATTTTATTACTTTTACTCCCAATAGCATCATCAAATCCCATAGATATAAAAGAATGTGTGGCATTGAGAAACAACATTAACACTGGCTGGAGTAATGCCACATTGGATAGACTTGTAGCATTTATCTGCGACAACTAAAAAGACTAAAAAAACTCGTCAACAACTACTAAAAAGACTCTGAGGGGACAATCATAAATTGTCAAGGGCAAACCCAGGAGGTTTCTGAATAGTATTAGAGTCGTACACCAAACAGAAGCTAAGTTCTACGACATAGGAGCCACCTGTAGAGTCCCAACCTTTGAAGTCCATGATCTTCAAATTGCGCAATGAGGAAGTTCCAAATTTAAGGAGTGTAGATTGTAATCAGAACATGAACCATGCGACAAACTGGGAACACTTAAAAAGACTTGATTTATAAAAGTCATATAGACAAAGTGCATCTTCTTTTACGACACCCATCCATAAAAACTCCATAATTAAGCTGTGGTGAAATGTGGAATATGTGGCCTCCTGGAAGTTTATTAGGAAGCACATGAGTGACAAAGACGCAATGAAAAAAAACTCATGTTGGCATAGGGAGGACCACCGTCAAGTCTCGAGGAGGACAGGCGGTTAAGCTCATGCTTCACCACATTCTAATATCAATCAACCAATCAATCAATATTCTAATACATCACAAAAAATAAAAAATAAAAATCCTATAAAATTCCCCAAAAATTTCTAGAAGCTAAATAAACATTCTTGAAAAGATTTTTTCTTAGAAATCAAATGAAGAGGGCAAGTGGGTCAAACAAATAAAATAAAAGATAATAAGTTTGCCACCCTCTACAACATCCAATGAAGAACAAATATAAGAGCGCCTTCATGATATCAATTAATAAAACAATATTATATACCAAATTTATTTCTTATTAGAATAAGTGAGAATATATGGTAAAATCACACCTGTTCTCATAACACTAATTCTTAGTGTGCACGCTAACTACCAAGCATCCAGAGATTATGGCAAAGTTCCTTTTTGTGTGTAACCCAAGACCCAAGCACTAAAGTTTTCAATTATGATGAATTCGTGTACATCTATTCTTAAGTCAAGTTTAGAAATGAAAGACAAAGTTCATCTTCCTCAAAGAGGAAACATGAGACATGTATTATGTCAATCCATTAAATAGAATTATGAGGAACAGAAATGCCATCTCATGATGCTCTCTTCAACAGGCCATCAACATCAACACGTTGTGTTTTCTTCTTTTTTGAATAAAAATTTCAAATACCACATTAACCATACAATCCAAGTGCATGTCCAGTATGAAGTGAAATATTCTGGTCCTCAAGATCCAAATCCATGTGCCTATATTCTAACAAGTAACACTAAGGCAAGTTATCCAAGTACATTCCATTATGAAGTGAAATATTCTTGTCCTCAAGATCCAAATCCCTGTGTGTATATTCTAACAAGTAACACTAAGTCAGACTAGCCAACAAATTTGAAATATTGTCTCATTAAATGGAATTGTTGGTCAGACTACATCACTTCTCCATAAGCCCAAAACAGCTAATACTCCAGCCAAACGTAACTAAATATTATTCATGATCTTCATATCAAGATTCAACAAATAATTTGTTTGCGGATAAGTTTAGATTCGACTTATTCATACTATTCAATAACTAAGAGGCAACGAGGCATCTCCACATAATATACTTTACGATCAACTAGTGAGAAAAAAAAAAGAGAAAGAAAAAGAAACCAGAAACATAAGATTGGTAAGAAAACTATCAGTAATGCTAAGGAGCCAACAACCAATGAGACAACTCCATGTGGGGCTGTCCCACATTGGAGCTATGTGGGACAGCCCTACATGGAGTTGTCCCATTGGCTGTTGGCTCCATAATGGAGCCAACAGATGGCTCCTTAGCATTATTGAGAAAACTATAGTATCTCGTTGAAACACAAGTAAATTAATATTTCATTGAGACATAAGAGGTCCCAGGACTCCATTTTATTAAAAATTAAAGTGAAATCACCAAGCACACATGAAGAGTGGCCTTAGGACAGTAATCTTCATGTGCTGATAAAGATAATCGCTTTACGAAAGTAGAACAATAACTTATACAGAAACAGGCTTTTTAAGTTCAAATTCTGCTCCCAAAGAAAGAACTATCAATTAATTCAATTCTACTAGTAATTTCATCGTGTGTTGTTTTAGTCAAAATAAAAGGTAGACTTGACGGTGCTATTACAGTTCTTTCTCAATAAAATCTTATATCCTTGAAAAAAACTATATTAAAAACTCATACACATGATTGATAACACAATTGCCTAATATTTCATTAGGAGTGGCCAATTCCTTAATTGTAACTAATAAGGAGTGCATTATCCTTCGGTGCAACTTACAAAACAGAAAACTTTCCACCAGAAACAGCATTCCATGTCTTTGGAAAAAACACGAATTCTTAGTTACAACAAGAAGACCCATTTTACCAGTTCGTCTTGCTAGTCCTAGAAAAGTTATCTTCCCACCACCTGCAAGACCTTCCATTTCCATCAGTCATTTGTTCATTTTTCTAATCCTACAGTTTGAGTTGGGGAAGCGTAAAGTATTCAAATTAATCAAAAGATTTTACCCAAAAGTAAATCAACCCTTCAACCACAAGAGCCTATGCTGCTGTTAAGTTTTAAGCCTCTAACGTTAACAAGAACGGTAACCTATCGCTCAATTGAACTCGACATTCAATTCAAGTATAACTCTGAAACCAAATATCCAGTTCAAGCATAGACAAATTGTAAAGTGCATCTTCGATTCATAACACACAAGTCATTAGTATAGATAAGAGAATAGATGGGTACCGGATTCATTAAGATAGCGGAAAATGAGATAATTCAGCTCTGCCGATGTTATCGAGATCATTATCAGAAATCCCCCTTCTGCATCTACAGATTTGTCCCTATGTATTCTTCACTGCATGGGTCAGAGACGAAGGGATTGGGGAGCGGTGAGAAAGAGTGAGCGGAGGGAAACGGTACGAATTCAGACCGGCTCTCCGATTACGGCTTTAAGAGAAACATGGGGGCGTTTGTTTACAATAAAATTTCAATTCATACTTTTAATTCATAAAATCAAAATTTATTAATCTATAAATATATAAAGACTTTATTATTTTTAAAATAGTTATTACTTTCCAAAAAAAAATCGTATTTACTATATTTGAAGATAAATCGAATTTAATTTTGGTATATAATAGCATTTTTTATGGGAAATAAATCAATCAATATAATCAATATATAAGGTTGGGTTAAAGTGACAGGTGTTCAGTGAAAGAAATAAGAATAAATCGTAATCATTAGATATAAAAAAGCAAAAATTATACATTCATTAAGGATATTTTGGACATTTTTACAACTACCCCATCCACCCACAGACCCCACTACCACCCGCCACCTATCCACCAGGCTGTCACACACACACGTGACAAATCTCACACACTCTATTATTCTGATGACAAAAATAAAATAAAAAATCTCATACACTCCAAATCTCTCTCTCTCACACACACGATTCACGTCTCTCTCACACACACTCACACACACTACCTTGCGCACACACTCACACACACTACACTGTATCTCTCTCTCTCACACACACACACTACACCGACAACACATACAAAAACACATACTACGCAACCGGCGCACACACTCGCACATACAGACTCACATACCGTTCACGATGGGAACATCCAAGGAGCTGCCGCCGTCGATGGCATCCGCCCGGAAACGACAACGTCACCGTTGTAGCGTCCCGTTCGATTTATAGAATTTATCGGATTATTCTATTTATCGACTTTTTATTTAATTGATATATGCACTATTTATTCGCATATTAATGATATTGATATTAGTACTTAAATTATATATTTAAGTACTTGATAGTTTTTATTTTAAATTATATTCGTTGTTCGGCAATTTTCGGTTAAATTGTGTCAATCGGTTTCGAATTGTTTCGACCCGTTTTCAAGGTATATTTGTCCGAATTTATTTTTAAACTCGCTCTTCTAACATGGCCATATTGAACCTTTTGCCCCAGCCCATGTTGGTTAAAAAACTCGACCCTGAGCATAAAATCCAACCTCTTGAGATTTCATGCACGCGAACCTTTGATTTTTGAAATTTAAAAATATCCTAACCCTTAGCCCTTGTTTGCTTTTCAGGATGGGATTGGACTAATTTAGTCCAATGGAGAAGGATTGTACTGTTGGGATTGGACTATTCCTGTGTTTGTTATATATGATAAGGGGGTAGGATAACTTTAAATTAGAAAAAAAATGTGTAGGTGGTGTAAAATACTGTTTTACCCCTTTCAAATAAATCAAAAACAGTCCAAAAATTATTCAAATGAGGGTAAAATAAAAATTTACTACAACAGGATATGAATAATCCCACCTATTTTCTGGGATTAGTTTATCCCATATATGAGGGATTAAGCCATTTTTATACCGAGCATTGGTGCTTCCATGTACTCATCTTCGATGCTTTGAACTTCCACCCTGTTAACATGTAGGGCCGATAAGATTCCTGCGGGTTTTAGTTCCATTAACTAAAAGCAGGATTAGGTCTGGATTAAGCGGGATATCCTGCCTAATCCCATTAAGCAAACATGCATATAATGGGAGATTTTGATCGGCATGAATTTTCCCCTCAAAACCACGATTTTTAACCCCTTCAAATCGCACCCTTTGTCCTCTTAGTTTGGTAAATAAATAATCTTGTTTTCCCCACATTAAGTAGGGATTAATTCTTCCCAATCTTGATTAATTGACACGCATAAACCTCTCTTCCTCTCTCCCTTGTGCACATTCAGAGAAATGCCTCCAAACCACGCGAGGAACTAGCAGAAACAGAGCAAAACCAGATCGCCATATCTCTCTTTTTTTTTCCCTCGACGTCATCTCTCTATCTCTCTCAGTCGGACTCCTACAGTCGCCGATCATCTCGCCTCTGACCACTCGCAGCAACGAACCTTCACACCATCCCAGTTCGAGCAGAATCCTGGTCACGCGAGACCTTCAACCCCAGCGCCGCCCCGTAACGCCGATAGCGAGTCTTTCCGTCCGTTCGTAGATTCCCGAAGGAGGTATACGTCTATATCTCTTCCTTTAGTATTGTTGTGAATTAAATTGAAGAATAATAGAAGGCTTAAGGTTCATTTGATTTAGAGAAGTTTAAAGAGGTTTGAGAATTTATTTAAGATGGTATTGAACTCTCTTGGGTATTTTTTAATGTCATTTTGCAGCCTTGAAAAGCCTCAGTTTTTGAGTTTTGTCTTACGGATTTTTGTGATTAAAGGGACCTTGGTGTTGCCTTAAAAATGTTGGAGAAATTCGGTTTGTTTACCAAGTGTTTCTGCCTTTTTATCCAATGGTCCTGGGATGATATTATTAAAATTGTGCAGCCTTGTAAGCTTCTAGAATTTTGAGTTGTGGGTGTTGAATTATTAAACTAAATTAATATTTGTTAATGTATTTAGGTGGTCATGTTCTAGGAATTTACATAATGCATGAATGTAAGTTATAAGATGCATGAAAGTAAAATGTAGGTGAAATGCATCATAGTAATTAGGGGAGTTTCAAAAGGTATTCTTATACTTATAAATACCTGTGTGAGTCATTTGCAAGTTGTAAGAGNACAAATCAAACAAACAACAAAAAAATACAAGCGCCCAAAGGCAAATACATAGATTTGACCCCTTAGACATACACAGTCCAACAGCAAAAGACTAAAGCAAATACTAACACGGAGCCACTGAACATAAGAACCTAGCCCCGACCCAAGACTCAAGACTCAAAGCAAAAAAGGAAACAAACTAGAGATGACAACTGCTGAACTCTGCCCATTCCTTCACAGCATTGCGAGCAACTACCAATTCTGGCATCCACACCTTTTGAAAGACCCACAAGTTACGCGATTTCCAAAGCCACCATAATATGTATGTCGATAATTGGATCCTGGCTTCGGTTGTTGGTGCCTTATTCATTTCTGCCAAGCTCCCCCCCAATACTTGAATTTTGACACAGAGATAGCCGCTTGGTCCCAAGAAATAGGTGCAAAACCCCACACTTTAACTGCTCTGGTGCAATTGAACATAACATGCTCCACAGTTTCCACACATTCCCCACAACACTGGCATACCTGGTCAACCTGCATTCCTCTTAAACTCAGATTTACACTAACAGGTAAGCTATCTGTAAAGCACCTCCATACAAAATGTTTTAGCTTCCCCTTAACCTTCAAATTCCAGCACCTCATTCTAGCCTTCTTATCAGAAATCACAGAGGAGCTACAGCTAGGCAGGTCAAGCCTAAGGAGCTTCTTCCTAACTGCAACAGAGTAAGCTGATGAAACAGAGAACTTACCTTTAGCATCTGCCTGCCAAATCCACCTATCTTTCTCATTGGGGTCAAGGCCTGTCATTGCCAGAATAGCATTGCAAGATGTCTCAGTAAACAACTCATGGACAACATCTCTATTCCAGCCTCTGCCATCTTCTGTTAGAAGTTCATTCACCCACTGTAGCTGAAATTCAGTAATCTCTGATCTCAAAGTTGGCTTCCCAGAAGGTAAACCTGTAACCCAAGGATAAGACAAGATTTTGGTGTTCAAACCATCCTTCACCTCCCTTCTGAAACATTCTTTGTAGATATTCATCACTTTCACCCAAGAATTCCAGAGCCAAGATGCAGAACTATGAGTTTTGACCTCCAATACACACCCAGCAGGAAAGTACTTTTCCCTCAAAATTCTGGTCACCAAAGTGTTAGGCTGAGTAAGTAACCTCCAGATTTGTTTAAGGATCAAAGAGTCATTAAATACTCTCACATCCTTAAATCCCAGCCCACCAGATTCTTTTGGTAAAGTAACCTTCTTCCAAGCCACCCAGTAAATACCTTTCTTCTGCTCAGACCCTCCAGCCCACCAGAAATCTGCACTCATCTTAGCAATCTCTTTACAAATACTGATAGGCAGGCAAAAACAAGACATGACAAAAACTGGAAGAGCATTAATAATAGCATTCATTAGTACCTCCTTCCCAGCTTTTGATAAGAGTTTATTAGTCCAGCTATTGATTCTCTTCCTCACAGCTTCCAGCACAAAATTGAACACCTCTTTCTTAGACCTCCCCAACCCCATTGGTAAGCCCAAATATCTGGTAGAAGAACACATTGCTATCCCATGTAGAGTTTGGCACACCCCATGCTTCACCACCTCACTAGCATTTCTACTGAAGAACACATTTGATTTTGCAAGATCTAACAGTGGGGCCTTCAAATATGCTTAGAATTTTGGGGATTGTACTTGAAAAATTTTCTTCTTTACAGTGAGTTTTTGGGGCTTAAAGCCGTAAAGATCTGTGATGGTCTTGTTCGAAATTTTGATGTTATTTCATCCTTTAATAATGTGTTGAAAAGTATTGGACAAGTTGTTACAAATGATTTTTTTCTTTAAATAAAAATTTAAAAAAATAAGTGGACAAAAACAAAAAAAAAAAAAAAATTAAAATGTGGACCGAAATCAAAAGGTCGTATTCTGAAAATACGTTTTACAATGAATACGTTTTAATTTTAAAACGTATTTCAATAATACGTTTTATAAATAAAACTAATTTATAATTTACATTTAATTGTATAACGTATTCCTGTAATATGTTTTACGACTAATTAATTGTAAAACGTATTTTGAAAATACGTTTACGTTTTACATTTAATTAATTGTAAAACGTATTACCGTAATACGTTTTACAAAAGCATTAATTATTTATATTTAATTTTCTTCATTTTTCGCTATATATTAGCTTATTTAATGAGGTGATTTCGGGTATTCCGTTAGGCTTCGATAAACGAGTCGAGCATTAACGAAAAGTGTTTTCGAGAAAACACGAGAAGAAGAGAAGCCGTTTATGGCGTCGATTTATTATTTCGAGGTCCCGATCATTTATCTAAAGAAGCTCGAGTTCGAGGGTGCATATTAGTAAAATAAATGAAAAAACCGTTTACGTGAGTCCCGCAAGGTCGCGTGTGACTTTGGTTTACTGAGAATC